CCAACGACTCGGCTGTAGAGAAAGCGGCGGCCACCGCCCCTGCCAGCCTCCTGGAATAACGGCCTGGGCCGGCGTCCAGAAATCTCTCCTGGCCCTGCGGCCGGTCTGGCTGCCCCGCGGCCCGCTCTGTAGATGCTCTGAGCAGGCTGTGCAGGGCCGCCGCCTCGCCCTCAGAGCTTCCGCCCGAGTTCACAGCAGCCTCGCTTAGGGCAGGACCTTGCTTGTGCACCGCGGGGCTTCAGGGGAAAGACTCGCCCCTGGCCACCGAGCGCACGCTGGGCCCTTCGGCCCAGGTCGGGCGGGAAGCGAGAAGTTCTGCCGGTCACTAGCACAGCCCTCAAGCTGCCTCAAGCCGAGGTTCACTTGGGGGCTAGGTGGGACAGCCTCTGGGTCGCCTTGTTCTGTGCACCTGGGCGATCCTCAGGAGAGTAGGCAGTGTCCCCCAAGGGGTGGGGACCAGCTGGGGGAGGGTGGCTTGGCTGCCTACCAGTTGGGGCCCAGGCATCTGCGTGCAGGGTGAGGCTGTAATCACTGCTTCTGGTAATTTGTTAATGACGGCTTGGCTGGTTTGTTTGCCTTCCGAGCCCAGCTGTGAGGGAGCCCGGTGAGGGTGGGCTGAGCCCCACAGACTGCAGCTCTGGAAGCTGGGAGCAGCCATCCCGGGGGCTGCCACGAGAAGACAGCCAGGTCAGCCTGGCCCTGGCACCGCGGGGGATGACAACAACGGGGGCCAGGCAGGCCTCTGCAGGCAGAAAAGGTACTGGGGGAGGGCTGACCTTGTCTCCACCACTGCCAACTGTCAGGGGTCCTTTCCACTCCTCAAGGAGGAGCTGGCCACCAGCCGAGTGGCCCTGGTGGTCAGAGGAGTCAGAACCAGCCCTCATGGATGAGGAGGGGAGAGTCCCTGGAGGCGGCTGTGGCTTACAACCTGGGCTTTAAAGGGGGGGGGGGGTGTCACTGGGAGCTCTTCCTCAAGGACGGCTGCTGCCCCTGCTGGTCCTGCCTTCCATTTCCTCTCCTGCACTATGCATGCAGGGGTGGCCCTAGGCCAGGCCGACGTCCAGGTGAGCTTTGGGGTAGGGTATGGAGCCTGGGTACCAAGGTGCCAGATGTGTCGGGGGATACAGGGAGCCTGGGGGCCACAATTGCTCCAATCCAGCCCCAGCTGCCTGGTGGTAGAGAAGCTAACAGGGTGCCCCAGGAGCCAGGTCTCGGGGGACCTGGGCCAGTGTGTGCAGAGGCACCAGGGAGGCCTGTGGGGGCCGGTGTTCCACCAGCTTGGGCATCTTCCTGCAGAGAGAGCCAGCGACCTCTTTCCTGCAGGACCTGACTCTGCCACAGGACCTGCCGCTGAGCCAAATGTGGCGGCAGGTCCCAAGGCGCAGGTGCTGTTCCGCAGGCTGGTTTTAAGTCCCTCGGGTGGGAGGAGGGAAGTGGGTGGGGCAGCGGGGTGGGAGGCACTCTGAAGGAACCCCCTGCCCACCATGGGCACCACAGTCCCTCCTTGGCAGGTCCCCAGCCCAGCTGGAGTCAGGGAGGAGGCAGACATCAGCCCCCCTGATGCCCCTCTGTGGGGGTTGACAACTCCAGGACCCCACCCTGGAGATGGGGTACCCCGCAGGGCCCACCTACCCAGGACGCTGAGCAGGATGGCCATGCTCCCACACCCCCAAACTGCAGTCCCAGCGGCAGGTGCTGGGGACATGCAATTCCCACCCCTAGAACACTGCCTGCCAGGCCAGGCTTCTGAGTCTCTGGAGCCAAGGCCCCGGGTGGCTGGGAGAGGGGACTTCGGCCTGCTGTGTCGGAAACCTTGTCCCCAGCTGTAGTCTACCTGTCCTCTCATACTTGCCACAGGCAGCTGGGCCCTGGCGTGGCCTGTTGGTGAGGGGACAGCAGCAGATGGACTGCAGCCTTCCCAGCTCAAAGGCCAGGTGCCCACAGGGCCGCCTGTGCCTCAGTCTCTCCACGTGGGCCCTGGGGGGGCTCCCAGAGCTACCTCTCAGGCGAGCAGTGGCCACTGTGATGGGAGGCTCCTGGGTGCTGACCTCAGCCCTGGACACAGCTCCCACCACAGCTGGTACATCAGGGGCCATGTGCTGCCAGCTGCTACCTCCTGCTGGACCCCTACCAAGCGGCCACTGTTGCTTTCTGTGTCCCCTTCAGAGGCAGGAACAGCCACAGGGCATCCTTCTGCCCAGGGAGGAGGTGAAGGCAAGAGCCAGAAGGGCAGCTGGTGGCGTGGACAATCAACCCCAGGCTCTGGAGCATTCTGGGGCCAGCCCCAGAGAACTGAAGACCACAGTTGGAGGGGATGACCACCACCTGGGTGCTTACCCCACCCCCACCCCCCTCCCCAACCTGCAGCTAGTCACAGGCTCTTGCTGCTGCCAGCTGGGTTCTAGCAGCAGGCCTGTTACACACTTGTAAATAGCTCCGGCCCGCCCTGCCCACCCCACACGTGAAGCCATCTGTCTGGCAGGACAAGGCCCACCAGGCGTCCGCTTCTCTGCGTCTTGAATAAACTGCGCTGTGAACTGCCCTCTACTGCCCTGGTTCCTGTGCGGAGGATGGGGGAGCGCTGTCTGTGCCGACCACAAGCCCCACGATGGGTCTCTGTGCTGAGCCCGGGGCCATGAGCTGAGTGGACATCTCAGGTCAGGTTCTGGAAGCCGGACCTAAACGTGGCGGTGTTTATTCAGAGACAGGGAAGGGCTGGCTGAGTGCCTTGGTCCCCTGGGGACAGTTCTCCAGGCAGGTGGCCCACCTGGGGCTTTGTTTCTGGTTCTCAGTCCTTGCTGCCAGCTCCAGTGTGCAGCAGGGCAGGGGTCTGGGCAGGCCCAGGTGAGCTGGGGTCCATTAAGGTGAACAGTACTGTCCTCAGCTGTCCAGGTAGCAAAGCTTTGGGGTGGGTGATCCACAAGAAATCCCCAAGGTTCAGTGTGGGCCCAAGACGGCTTCTGGTCAGGGAGTCTCTGGCTTCAGCAGTGACCCTTCACAGGGAGAGGTTCAGGAGACAGCGTGCCACTGGGGAACTGTGGGGAGGAGGGGCACGAGGCCAGGCTCCAGCCACCCAGCAGTGTTCCCTGCGGGACTGGGCGGTGCCCCACTCAGAGCTCCACACAGGCCCCTCTGAGGGTGGCCCCTGAACAAGAGCAGCTCAGAGGTACCATGGCAGCCCAGCCAGCGGCAGAGGGGATTTCACCCTGGGGCCTGGCCATGGAGCACCTCTCACAGGCCCGTGGCTCCTCTGGATGAAAACGCCTTTCAAGACCCTCCAACCCAGCCTCTACCTATCCCTGAGGACAGGGCCAGAAGAGACGGGGCACAGGGCCTAAGGACCCAGCCAGGCTCTGGGCAGGAGTGGCCAGCACATCCCCTGATCTCAGGGACATAGTCCAAGTGTGGCTAGAGTCTCAGGGCTTCTCTCTGGGAGCAAGTGACCTCAGCAGCCCAGAGTAGTTGTGAGACCACCGAGGTCTGTGGCAGGAGGTGGGCCAGAAACTCAGGCTGGCCCCTGGGCCACATGATGCAGGGTGGGGGCCCACCTGGCTGAACCAACACAGTCAACAGGTCAGTCCTGCACCCCGACCCCTGGCCAGCACCTGGACCCAGGTGAACAGACAGACCAGCCCTTCCTGGGGAGCACGCATTCCTGCAACCAGGTTCACAGTGCCCTGAAGGAGGAAGGAGGTGGCACTGCCCCAGAGGCTCATGTCCAACCAGAGGCCATTGCGAGTGGAGGAGGGGACCGAACCCCAGGGAGCATCCAACCTCTCCATCCTATGTCCAGGCAGAGCCGAGACCACGGTGTGGGTCCTGCCAGCCCAGTGTCATGGGAAGACACCCCGACCTGTAGCTGCCAGTGAAGGAGAGAAGCACGGTGGCCCCCGGTGCTGGAACCCAGATGGAATGCCAGCCTGGGGCACTCAGGTCCCCAGGGAGGAGCCAGAGGTGGTGGCATTAGGTGCTGCCTTAGACATGCAGGCCCAGGTCAGCCTGAGGAGGTAGCTGAGGTCCCTGGCAGCGCTGCCTGGTTCACCTGGATGATGCCCCGCTCCAGCTCCTGTCCAGCTAACTGGAGGTCCTCGCGCTTCTGCCGCAGCTCCTCCCTAGCCTGCTGCAGCCGCTTGTTTGTGATCACATAGGCCCGGCTCTGCTGGTAGAGCTGCTCCTGCTGATCCTCAGGGTCCTCGGTCCTCCTGGAGGGGCCTGGCAGGTCTGTGGATGGACACAGAAGCCTCACTCACCAAGGAGCCCCAAATCACAGAATGTGATACCTGTGGGCCTCCACGCACAGGGCAGCCACGGGTGGGCATCTGCATCTCACCAAGCTAACCACAGGGCAGATGCAGACGCTGTGGGCAGGAGGGAGCTGAGCTGGCTCCCTCCCTGGCTAGGAGAGACCTCTTGGTTTTCACCTTGGCTACAGACTGGTTGCAGAAAGGCCCACAGGAAAGCTCAACCCAGGCCACTGGGTGGGCCTCCCTGGGTGGGCTCCGATTTCTGTCTTCAGACTGGGCTCTTGTGCCTGCTCTCTCTGGAAGCCTGAGCTGCAACATGCCAGCTCCTGCAGATGCCTTGTGTGGTTCTGCAGCCACAGGACCCAGTACTTCCAGAACTGCGGGTGTGGAGACACATTTCCCAGGACCCCTTGCACAAGCAGCACATAAAACTCCCCTGCTCCCAGAAGGTACAAGACCATGGCTGCAGGACTGCAAAGGTTGGGTTTTGGGTACCATGCGACACGTCAGGACTCCCTCCAATCCTTCCTGTTCCTCACCTGCCCATAACCGTCTGGATTCCAGCTCCAACACCCACCGCAGGCCAGGAAACACTAGTGTTTGATTACAGGTCACTTTTTCACCATTGTTTTAGATAAAAAGGGGGAAGGTCAGATGCAAACAGGATGGGACAAGCAGAAGATGCCCCGGAGCGCCCCTTCACTCTCCCTTGAACATGGTGCACCTCAGCTCCTGTGTGTGCTAGGTGGAACCTTGGGCCTTACAGGTGCTTCTCCTGGATTGCACCCCGGCCCTTTTTATTTTCAGGCAGGGTCTTGCTAAATTGCCAAGGTTGGCTGGAACCTGCGACCCTTCTGCCTCAGCCTCCTGAGCTACTGGGATAGGCTAACTGGTGTGCAGGCACAGGGGAGTGCCCCACAGTTCTGCAGGTCTGTTCCGACCCCTGTCGACAGTGAGAGCAGCTACTGGCCCAGGAGTGGAAAAACTGGCTGTGTACCCAAAAACTTTTTTTTACGGACACTGAAGATGACTTCACGTTACTTCCACACATCTCAAAATATGCTCACCCCCACTGAAACACGTGATCTGCGATGTGGCTCAGGGTAGAGCGACTGCCTAGGTGCAAAAAGGCCCTGGGGTCCATCCCCAGCATGAAAAAAAAAAAAGCGGAGATCCTTCCTGGCTCCCGGCCTTAGCGGACCGGCGGCGCGGGCGGGCGGTGTGCTCGTGCAGACCCCGCCTCTCCCGCTGGGCTCGGGACCGTCCCTCCCCTCTCGGGCCGGACTTTCTACCTTCCGGGGCCAGCGCGGTGAAGACGGGGTCCTGCGCCCGCGCTCCTCGCACGTCCTCCAGGATCTGCGCCACCGTGGGGGGCGCCGGGCGGGTGGGCAGCACCACGCGCTTCTTGGCCTTGGAGCCCATCCCTGGAGGCGGGAGAAGGGAGCACTGACCGGGCGTCCACCTCCCGCCCCGGCCACTCGCACGCACCCGCCGCCGCCCTGCCGCGCCCTCCGGGGCCGCCCAGCTCTGGCCTTCCCTTGGCGCGACACCGCGGCTCGGCACCGCAGGGCTCCGCTCGACCTCCGTCTCCCCGCGGAACCCTGGCCGCCCACCTCCACCGCCCGGGAACGCTCCTGCCGGCGCCGGAGCCGCCGCTACCACAGCACTTCCGCTTCCGGTCGGAGCTCCGGCCGACCCCACTCGCGATGCGCGCTTCCGGCCTCCTCGGACTCTGGCTCCCGGCCAGAGCCCACCCCTTCTTAAAGGGGCGGCACCCTGGAGGATGCCGGTGTGATCTGAGACTGAGAGCGACCGCACGTGATGGGAGTGAGTGGAGTTTCCTCTGCTGGGTGACAGATCATCTGGAACTCGGGTTTATGTTCGTGTCACTGCGGTAGAGCCCAGGGCCAAAGTATCCCAGAGCCACACCCCAGCCCTTTCCGAGGCAGGGTCTCCTCCTGCCCAGCCTCCTGAGTCCCTGGGACCACAGGCCGGTGCCCACAGGCTGGCTGGCCTCAGATTTCTGCAACCTCCTCCCCACCGGGCCGTGAGGGCTGGGTTGGAGAACAAAAGCAGCAGAGGGAGGGTGTTGTTTAAACACTCTACGAAGAGGTAATTTACACACCCGAAGTTCACTCACCTAGTGTCTGTAGTGGTTCTAATTCAGGGTTTGGGTGCTGGGTTTTTTGTTGTATATCAGAGTCATGCAGTCACCCCCACAGTCTGGTTCCAGAACATTCTCATCATCCCAGAAGAAAGCCTGTCCCCATGAGCAGTCACCCACTCCCCAGCCTAGCTCCTGCACCCATGATTCACATCCGGTCTCTGGACTCGCCTGTCACTGTCACACACTGTGGCCTTGTGTGTCTGGCTCTCAATGAGCATGAGGTCCTCAGGTCCATCCATACCACAGTGTGTGTCCCCTGGCTCCTGCCCTGGCTGAGGGCCACTCCAGGTGGATGGACATGGTGTCTGTCTGTGCATTGTGGAGCTGGCCGCAGTCCGGCTGTGGGAACCACGCTGCTGTGAGCCCGAGGGGTTTCTGTGGGGTGTTTGGTGTTTACGCCTCGGAGTGAAACCCCTGGGTGGGAGGCCAACTCGTATTCGGCGGTGGACTTGCCAGACTGATTTCCAAGGTGATGCCCAGGTGGCTAGCCAAGGGGCTCACCGCGTGGTGCAAGAGAAGGCTCAGGAGGAGTGTGGGCTGGAGAGGCCTTGGCCCGGGATGGGCCGCTCAGCATCTGCAGCCTCTGAGCGTCACTTGCCACCTTGAACCCCGCCCCAGGTCCCCAGAGCCGGGACTGCTGGCCAGGGGCTGATTCCTCCTTTGTGGTCCACTGATCCTCGGGCTGACGTCAGGAAGGTAGTTTCCCTATGCAGTGCAGGGCTGCGGGGACCCCAACCAGGCCTGCCCTGCCCCAAAGGACACCCAGGCTTGGCACCTTTGACTCAACCTTTATTTGCAAACTCTGAGGTTGAACGTGGTGCTCGGGGCTGCTTGGACCCAACAGGGAAGGACCCGTGGCTGTGGTCTGACTTCTGCTCATCCCACCTCATCCCACCCCACCCCTGCACCAAGACTTCTCTCTCTCTTTCTCACTCGGAGCTTCTGGGTCCAGGCCACAGGGTTCCATGCAGCCCACACCCTGGCCAGTGACTGTGGGTGGCCAGCCAAGGCTTTCTGAGGCAGGGCAGTAGTGCCCACTTGGGCCCAGGCGGAGGTGGCTTTCTGTGCTCCAAGACGGACATCCCCAGGTTCCAGCAGCAGCTGGGGCTGGGGTGGTGGTGGGCAAGGCCCTCAGCACCGGGAGCCCAGCCCACAGTGGGCAGCTCTTGGACGCTGCAGAGGAGGAGACTTCTGCTCACAGGCCACAGTCAACAGGACCAATACCAGGGCTTGGGCCTGGCAGCGGCAGCAATAGCTGGAGCAGGCGGTGTCCAAGGGCTGCTGGTGGCCGCTGGGGATGGCGGCCCTGAGCAGGAGCCCTGGTGCTCATCCAGAGTGTGGGGCGGGGGGCAGGCGGTGCAGTCATGGGCAGAGCTGCCCCGGCAGGTGTAGCACGAGGCGTGGCAGCCGGAGCACACGCGGAGGGCAGGCGCGGCCGCGCGCCCAGGCCCTGCGGTCACTGCCGGCTGGGTGCTGCTGAAGTACCTGGGCGGGCAGTAGGAGAGGCAGAGGTGGCCCAGGATGTAGGCAGGGCCGTCACATTCTGCACGAGGGACACAGACGCGGAGGGTATGAGGTGCTGCCGGCCTTGTGGGCCCACCTGCCGCCAGCCCGCCCTGGGCCGCACACGCACACTGACCACCCCTGCGGCCGACGCCTCCCAGCAAGTGGACCGTGCGGCGCTGACCACTCACCCTGGCACAGCCCCTCTGTGTCCCGCTGCACACACGCGCTGCTGGTCACCTGGGGGTCTGAGGGCCGCTCCATCATGTCCTCAGCTGTCCCGTAGAGCAGCAGCGTGTAGCGGTACAGCGTCCCTGGGCAGGGGTCACGGTGGCATGGGGAGGGGAGAGGGTGTTGGGGCCTAGTGCTCCAGGCCCTGGCCCCCTCTGCTCAGCCACTGCCACCCAGAGCCCAGACCAGATGGCTGGGTGAGCACCCCTGTGTGCAGGGCCTGGACTTGGCCTCCCAGGAAGGGGACCTGCTGGCCCTGACAGGCCTGTGCACATGGTCTCTCCAGGGAGACCCGAGGCCACTGTGGCAGTGGGGGCAGTGGGGTAACCGAGGTGGGGTTGGACGGTGGAGCCCCCAACCTCAGCCCCGGCTCTCACCGGTGTTGAAATAGTAGCCCTTGTTCTCCAGGCCCAGGATCCACAGGCCCTGCGGGTCCTCGTCCCAGAAGTGGGTGGACATGAAGATCCAGTTGTTGTAGCCTTGGCCGCTGACATCCAGGGGCCTGGGCAGGTGGCAGCAGGGAGAGAAGGGCCCCTCTCAGGCGGGCTTGGGGCCATGGGGCCAGAGCCCCCTGGGAGGGCCTCCAGAGGGCGGCAGTGGCTACCAGGGGCCCGGTGGGTGGGGATGGGCACACACCTGATGGCCACCAGCGTGGAGCGGGTGCCCATGGGGCTGGTGAGAGAGATCTCCAGGTCCCCGCGGCGGCTGTAGGACAAGGACAGCTGCACCTGCACGTGCTCCAGGGAGCGTATGTAGTTGTGGCGGCCGGCACAGGCGGACACCTCCTTCTTCACGTGCATCCGGGGCAGGATGGGGCTGCAGGGGCGAGGACCCTCCAGTTGGCCCCCTGTGGGGTGGGCGCCAGCAGGAGGGTCTGGTATCCAAGATGAGGGGGCCACCCTCTCCTTTTACGAATGGGCGAAGGCCTTAGGGCTTGCCTCCCGGGGGCTCCCGCTCTCAGGTGGTGGTGGCTGGTGTGGGGGTGGGGAAGGGGGAGGTGTGCACAGTGTGCAGGGCCTTGGAGGGGCCTCCCTCACGTGGGGACATGCACAACCAGGATGGCACATTTCTTCTGGGGCTGTGTGGGCAGCCAGGTGCGAGCCATGTCCACCAGTAGCCCAGCGTCCAGCAGCCCGTAGCCGTAGTGGTGGCTCACTGTGTGGAGAGGTGGCGTCACTTTCCTGGTGGGCACAGCATTCCCGCCCCGACGGGCCCCATCGCACCTCGGCGCCCCACGCCATTGACCCTCCAGTCTTCGGCCTGCAGCTGCGCCGGCCTGGACGCGCGGACCACCAGGTGCTGCATGTCCCTCCAGCTCAGAAACGGGCTGCAGGGGAGGGCAGGGGCAGTGAGCAGGGGGCTGGGCCTGCGGCCAGGTGGTGGGCAGGGCCCCCACCGTCACCTACTTGGCCTCCAGAGCCAGGGCGATCATGCCTGCGGCCAGCGGGGCCGAGGCGGAGGTGCCGGTGTGCTTGTCTGTGCACTGGTGGTGCAGATCCGTGGTGACCTGGGGGCAGGCGGAGGACGCAGCCCTTGTTCACAGGCACCAAGAACTGCACTCAGAAAGCGCTAAAAAGCACACAGGTGGCCACCTGTGTCATCCCAGCCTGGGCAGCTTGACGAGACCCTGACTCGAGGTCCACATCTCGGACGTGGCTCCAGGCAGAGTGCTCCCCGGCTGCGGGGCCGGCCTTCCGTCCCAGGGCCACCGAAGGTAAAGGGGCAGAGCGCCAAGGTCTCGAGGCACAGGTCAGAGGGCACGCCAGGCTCGGGTGTGGGGCAGTGCACCCAGGGAGCTGTCCCTGCCTGGGTCACAGGGAGGGTGGCCCAGCGGCCAGAGCAGGAGGACTGGGTGCCCACCTCGGGAGCCCTGGGAAGGTGGAGAGGGAAGTCCTACAGAGGCGCTGGGAGGCAGCCCGGTGGCCCGAGCCGGGGGCCTCGGCGGTGGGGTCGGGGAGGGTCATGGGCACTCACGATCTGCGGGTCGGTGACCACCCCGCTGCTGTAGGTGGTGGTGAGCGTGGAGGCACAGGCCTCGCTGTACCAGGGCACGCGGCCCTGCTTGGTGGTGCTGCCCACGGACAGCGTGTGGATGCTGTTGGTGTAGCCGTCGCAGTTGCAGTTGTCATAGTGCAGGCCACCGTTGCCTGAGGCCCAGACGAAGAGTGTGCCCAACCCGCCGCGGCCCTGTGGGGAGGGACGGGGCAGGGCATTGGCCTGGCGCCCGGGCCTGGCCCTCACGGAGGGGTGGGGGGGCCCTGCTCACCTTGGTCACCCCCAGCCGGAAGGCCTCCCGAGTGAGGATGCCTGGGCCGTCCACCGTGCGGCCGTCGTCCTCGGGGCCCCAGCTGGCGCTGTAGATGTGGATGTGCTGAGGCTGCAGGCTCAGCGACTGGGCCTCCACGACGTCCGTGATGGTGCCGTCCAGCATGCGCACGCCTGCGCGGGGGGTGTGGGCCTCTCCACCAGCCGCCCGCCAGGCCTGCCGCCCACCGTCCCTTTCCCTGGGGGCTCCGCCCGGGCCCCCGCACAGCCGTCAAGGCCTGTGTGCCCACAGGTCCCAGCCTGACCCTCCCCTCTGTCCCGGGCTGTGCCCTAGGGGACCCGCGTACCTCCAATCCGGGCGTTGAAGGCGACACCCGCCCCGCAGAAGTGGTTGTTGGCTATGGCGGCCACCTCCCCAGCACAGCGCGTCCCATGCCTGGTGCCAGGGCCAAGAAGTGCACCCCTGAGAGCCCGCCTGGCCCTGTGGACAGGGGCCCTCACCCCAGGACCAGGGCTCACCGGTTCTCATCACTGGGCGTGTAGCGGGGCTGGGGATCCGCGTCGTAGTCGTTGAAGTCGTAGCTGGCCAGGGGGTCCTGCAGGCAGGAGGGGACAGGAGGGGGGCTGAGGCGTCCCTGGGGCGGGGCCAGCCTTGATCCGGGGCAGCCCCCATTAGCCACCCAGGTCTCACATAATTGGCCCAGAGATCCGGGTGGTCCTTCTCGATGCCATCGTCCAGGATGGAGACCACGACCCCCTGCCCCGTCAGGCCCTGGCTCCAGACCTGCAGGATGTTCAGGTCCGGCTGCACCTGGGTATTCTGCATCAGGAGGGGTCTGGTCAGCGGGGCTCTGGCTGGCCCTGCCTGTCCACCCGCCCCAGCCCAGCTGCTCACCATGTACCACTGCTTGGAGAACCAGGGGTCCGAGGGCTCCGCAAAGGAGCGCTTGAAACGCCGCCGCAGCGTCTGCTGCTCAAACCACTGCACCTGGGGACACAGCCGGACGTCCAGGGCTTATCCCTGGGGCCTTTCGGGCGGGGGAGGGTGGACTAGAGGACTGTGGACCTCTGGGGAGGTTCTGTGTCTGTGGGGCTGCTGCTCCTCAGGCCCATCTCCTCTGTCCTCTGTCTGCCCAAAGCTCTCAGAACACCTACTCTTAGGTCCCACAGACCCATGGCCAGAGCTGAGGATGAGTGGAGCCTCTCTGATCCCAGCTGCCTCTTCCTCCCTCCCACATTTAGATCCTTGTGTCAAGGTCCCCCTGGGTCCCTCAGCATCACTTCAAAAAACAGCCACTTTTACCTCCCCATCCAAAATGACCATACCCTTTTCTTTTCTGGTTCTCCATTTCCCTGTCCACTGCCCACAAGCCCTACCTGTCTATACAACTACCAGCCTCCTTACTGCTCACTAACAATGGCTGCCTTCTTGTTCCAAGAGCCTGTGAATCCATTTCCACCCCAGGACCTTTGCACATACCATTATGCTCTTCTTCTGGCTTTTGCCATCCCTGCTTCTTACCTTCTTGGTACCCCCCAACTCAGCTCATATTCCCAGCCCCCATCTCAGTGGTCTGGGCCATCTTTTTCTGGCTGCTCAGCTCCAGATTTGGGAACTGGCCCTGATTTCTCTCTCTCCTCCTGATTTCTTCCAATCCATCTGCCAGCCCTGGCTGCTCTCCTGCAAACTATGTATAGGTCACATCTTTCAGTCCCCAATGCTACGGGCAAGCAGCCCGCCAGGGCAGCCCACCCCACTTCACAGCACCCAGGGCTCCCCAGAATCCATCCTAATTCTTCATCTGGGCATCTGAGACCTTTTCTTGATAGGACAGGGACTGATTGGGAGCAGACACCCCTATGAGCCCCCAGACCACTGGGCAGTTTTGGCTTCCTACTCTGCAACTGTTTTCATGCTGGTCAAATGGGCCATTTCCCATCTCTCCACCCTGAGGTGGGGAGAAAGGAAGGACCATTCATCCCTTCTTACCAGAGCGTTTGGGGCCCCTCATTTTTTAGGAAGGAAGAGGGAGTGGCAATAAGTGCCTACTCTGTACCAGGTCCTGGGGGTGGTATGCTCACACAGACCTCCTCATCTGGTCCCCACTGTGGGGACCAAGTGGAAACCGAATTGCTGAGTTGGTGACTTGCTGGAGGCCACCCGGCCACCATGGCAACCACAAGAATAACAGAAGGCAGCTGGTTGGCCCCAGGTGGCTGAGACCAAGACAAGTAGCCTCCCAGACCGGACTCACCTTGGGGTCTTTCTTCAGGCGGAGGCGGTGGCCCCAGTGGGGAGTCAGGGACTGCTGGGCCACGCCCCGGTGCCGGAGGTGGAAGTACTGCCCGTCAGGGAAGATCTGGAAGCGTGCCGCAGCAGCTCTGCTGGGACCGGCTCCGTGATGGAGGCACTCCCACCCCAACCGGCCGGCCCCCTTGCTTGCATGCTCCCAACCGGGGGCCCAGGTGGAAGCTTCTGGGAGTCCCAGAATCTAAGGTGGCCGTGGCAGGGGTATGCTGGGGGTTCTTGATATTTGGGGGGCCTTGGGGACCCGGGTCCTTTTTGTTGGGGTCTGGGGTCGCCCAGCCCCACACTTCCCATCCAGCCGGGTCCCACCCACCTGCCCCAGGTTGACGAAGCCAAATTTGCGTGCCAGGCGCTCGACCTCCTGGTAACCCTGTGTCACCCGCACGGCCCAGCTGCCGACGTAGATGGGGGCCGGGGCCGTGGCCCAGGCCACAGCCAGGGGGCGGACGAAGCCCAGGCTCAGGGCCAGGGCCAAGGACAGGCGCAGACAGAGCGCAGTCGGGGCTGGCCGCATGGCGGGGGCGGGACCGGGGGCGGGGCCTCCGGAAAGCCCCTCCCTCTGGCCAAACCGCCTAGTCGGCCCGGCGCCCGCCGGACTGCCGGCGCCATAGCAACCCGAGGGCTTCAACTCCCAGGGGGCCTTGCGGTTCCCCCAAGTGGGGCGGGAAGGCCCGACAGAAGCCGTAGGAGGGTACGCGTGTCCACAGACCTAAGCCCTCTGGAGCCTCCGTTTCCTCATTTGTACGCGGACCCAACTCCGGCCCACGGGAGCAGGTTCACTGTTGCCTAGGGGAATGGGAAGCCGCCTTTATTTGGCCCCACCCACTTTCTTCACACCCTTTCCTCGAAAATCAGCTCCGTCTCCTGTCCTCTCCAACCAGAGTGTTTCTCTGGGTAAGTCCCGCCTCCCCTCTTAACCCCGCCCTATCGCGAGCTGACCCCGCCTCCCCTCTACTCAGCCCCGCCCCTGTCTGGCCTCGTCAATCGTCTCTGGCGGGACTCTGGCCCTAACACCCGCGCTGCCCTCTCCTCTCTTAGCTCCACCCTCCTCAGCGATGCAGCCAATAATCCCAGGCCCTGACGCCACACCTTCCAACCAGCTACGTCCCACTCCTGCTCGGCCAATCAGCGCCCTCGGCCTCCGCGCCCCGCCCCCCTCGCCGCCGCCTCCTTTCCACTCCGTCCGCCTCCGGCCAGAGGGCAATGCGGCGGGGGAGAGGGGGCAGGCCCCTCCTCCTTTGTCCGCCCTGCCCTCCCATTGGCCGGAGCGGGGGAACAGGGGCGGAGCCCGGAACAGGGGAGGAAACCAGCAGCCTGGGGGCGGAGCCGGGCAGCCCTAGCGGGGGCAAGGCTGCTCGCGCTCGGCGGGGCCGGTGCGTGGGGCAGCAGGCAAGCTCCAGCTCGAGCTGCCAGCCCCGGGCCCGCCGGTGCCATGGACGGCCTGCGCCAGCGCTTCGAGCGCTTTCTGGAACAGAAGAACTTTGTCACCGAAGCGCTCGGAGCGCTCGAAGCCAAGATCGGTGTCGAGAAGCGGTATCTGGCCGCGGGTGAGCCGTCGGGGCGCTTGCCCCATTGCACTGACGGGCACACTGAAGCGCTGGGCATCGAGACCTGACGCTTCTCCGACTGGCCCCGGCTGCAGGGTCCGGTCCGGGAGAGGCGCGCGTCCCGCTGCTCAGCATAGAGACCCAGATCCTGGGGAGGGAGAGGGTCTGCCTGCAGCCCCTGCCCTGTGCCTGCCCGGCGACCTTGAGTGAGGGCAACTCTGGGCCCCTGCAGTGCTCCCCTGTAGCCGTGGTCCCAAAAGTTCTCTGCCCCTTCCGTCGGGGCCTTGGGCACTTGCCAGGCTGAGTCCAGTTCTTCCAGTTGCCTAACTAGGTGTGGGGGCAGTCTTGATGCCAATGACCTATGTGTCTGCCCCAACTCATTCCTGAGTGGACTCGAACCTGGCAGTGGGTACAGACATTTTCCCCGTTTGTCCGAGGGGAAGCCTAGGTCCTCCTCCTGAAGCCCTCTTCCTGTACCCCAGTTCCTTACTTACTCTCCTGTCCTTATTACGTGTTGAGTTGGGTTGTGGAGAGCTGTGTTGGTTCCCTGGGCAGGAAGAAGCCGCGCACACGACTGTAGCTCCATTCCATTTCCATTGCCCCTTTTCAAACCTATGCAGTAGGTCTGTGGTCAGTGCTCAAGTGCCGTTCTCCCCCTTTAGTAGTACTCAGAGGTCCACTGCCTTTTCCAGGAGACCCTCCCCCTGGACCACAAGGACACTTGTCTGGTCTTGAGGCCTCCACAGGGAGGGCTGTGCTCCATTCTTTGATCACCTTTTGTGGGCAGATTCTGGAGACCACCTTCCTCCCATTTTCCCACCAGCTGGGGGATTCCCCTGCAGGCAGCTCAAGGAGGGTCTGAAATCCTCATCCAGACCCTGGATGCCCGCCAGTGCCCAGCCCCCCACCCCAGCAAGTCAGCCAGGTGGCACGTGTGTGCTGTGCCTGCCCAGTGCAGGTCCCGGCCTCTGCCCTGGCTTTCCACAGGCCTTGCTTGTCCCAGTGGGTGGGGAATGTAGGTCATAGAGCACTTGAGGGGAGAGGGCTGGGTATCTTCAGGGAGAAAACTGAGGCACAGGGAGGCAGGGACTGGGGGAGGCTGCCTCTGTCTGGAGCATGGCCCCCCTCCCTGCCCCAACCCCATCTGTTGATCTCTGGGTCCCTTCCCCCCCACAACCCTGATGTCCAAGGTCATCCTTTCATTGCTGAGACTGCAGGTTTAAAGGGATTTAGGAGCAAGAGCCCCTCCTTCCCCACTAGCCAACCTGGGAGAGCCCCTCCTTCCCCACTAGCAAACCCCAGGAAGGAGTCCTATCCTCCTTGAGCCTCACCCAGATATAGGGAACATTGAGCCTCACCGACCCCAGATGGCCAAATTCCATGGCCCCCGGTGACAGATAAGACAACTCAGAGGAGGCAGTGACCTAGAGGTCACATGGCCTTTTGGGGCCACCTGGGTCCCTGTCTGACTGCTCTGACTTCTGGACCTGGAGGACAGAGGCTAATGCAGGTGGAGGAAAGGGTGGGGTGATCTGGTGCTCTGCCCTTTGGTCCAGAAGTGGCCTCTATCTCTCTGCCGATAACAACCTCAGGGAAGGAGGGAGGAAGCTGTCCAGGGGCTCCAAGTTTCCTTGTGTGCCCTTGGGAAGCTGCTCCCCTGGCCTCAAAGCCGAATGAGATAAGGCAGAGGAGGCCCTGAGGCTGGCACAGTGGGCGCTTGGCAGATGCCACAGTCATTAGTCTTTTCAGAATCAAGCTCAGGATTGTGGCTGAGCTCCTGACCCCCTCCCTCATTTGTCTTTGAACCTCCATTGCTGGGAGTATGTTTTAGTGGCCAGAAGGTGTAGGAAGCAAGGGTCCCCTGACCCACAGCCACCTAGTGGGAGCCACCACCCCCATTGCAGGTGGGAGTGAGACTCCACAGGAAAGGCTTGCCGCAGGTGGCAGGGAAAGGAACAGGCTCCTCCAGCTCTGGGAAGACTTGGGTTCTCAGAGGGGCTGACACTGCCCCATGCGTATTTAGCCTTGTCTGGGGTCATTTGTGGTTGTCCCACTGGAAGCTCCTGGCCGGGAGTGAGTGGAGGCCAGAGGTGCTGCTCAGCACCGTGAAGGGCCCAGGACAACCACTCCAGTGAATGGACTGTGCCCGCATCCGCAGGGTGGAGCCTTTACACAGGTCCTAGCCACTCAGCTCTCCCAGCTCCCCAGGGATCACGCACTGCCTTCCTACTCCCAGCACCTCCCACAGGACCTGGAATGAAGTTCTTAGAATTGCAGATGGTCACTTATTCACTCAACCAATGCTCTCTGGGCAACTGCTTTGTGCTCACTCCACAAGTGAGCCCTGGTTCAGAGCCAAGGTCCCTGCCTGCCCTTGGGGTGCTCACAGCACCCCACCATTTGCACGCATACACCTCAGGGCTAGAGGCCCTGGGGCTGCATGAGCGGCCCACTGGCGGCTCGGGCATCCTGGAGGCATCGCTGGGGCTCTGGCAGGAGGTGCTGGCCTCCGGGTGCTACCGGACGGTCCCTGTCTCCTGTAGGAGTCGTCATTCTGCTAAGCTTGTACCTTCTGTTCGGCTACGGGGCATCTCTGCTGTGCAACCTGATCGGATTTGTATACCCCGCATATGCTTCGTGAGTGCCCTGGCTGCCCCGTGGGAGGGGAGCCTGGGGGTGCGCGTGGCCCCTGAGCCTCCTGCACCTCCCGCAGAGTCAGAGCCATCGAGAGCCCAGGCAGAGACGACGATACCGTGTGGCTCACCTACTGGGTGGTGTACGCTGTGTTCGGACTGATGGAGTTTTTCAGCGACCTACTCCTGTTTTGGTTCCCTTTCTACTACGCGGGCAAGGTGGGGGGCCGGCCCCTCCTGGGGGCCCCAGGACAAGCAGGTCACCCACCCTGGGGAAGAGAGGGCAGCCAAGAGTCCAGGGTGTGTGGGGTCTGGGGCCTGCCTCCAGGCTGGACCAGGGACATGGACCGTCCCAGGGGCTGTCTGAGGGTGGAGGCCCAGTTCCTGCCCAGGTGGGTGTCTGGCAGGGACACTGAGGGACAGGCCCCAGTGTGACGGCTGTGCCCTGCAGTGCGCCTTCCTGTTGTTCTGCATGACGCCGGGGCCCTGGAACGGGGCTCTAGTCCTGTATCATCACGTGGTGCGTCCAGTGTTCCTAAAACACCACGCGGCCGTGGACAGCGCCGTGAGCCAAATCAGCGGCCGAGTCCTGGACGTGGCAGCCGGAATAGCCAGGGACGGTAGGTACTGGGGCCGGGGTCTCCGCCAGCCTGCCGGCCTGCTGCCTCCCATCCTGCCTCCCCTGGGCCTCGGCCACTCTCTGGGGTCTTCACCACGCCTCTGGGGCTCCCCTCACACACCTCTCTCTTGCATGCTCTCGGGAACCAGTGCTTCAGGCCCTGGCCCGCGGCCGGGCGCACGTCACCCCAGTGCCGGCAGCGGAGCCTCCAGTGGCCCTGGAAGCCCCCCGTAGGTACCCGGGGCGGGCAGGGCCGGTACATGCCGGTGGTGGCACTCATGTACATTGGACGTGTGTGTGCCTGCGTGTGAGTGTGCGCACCCTGTGTGCCAGCGTGCTGTGAGCAGGCGCTGTGCCTAGGACATGTGTCCTCTCCTGTCCCTGTGCCCACATGGGAGTCAGCGGGCACAGGGTGGATGTGTGTGCCCAACTGCCTGGGTGACCACCTGGCCCCTGAAGGAGCTGACTCTATCACCAACAGCCTAAGTCCTGCTCCCAGCAGCTGGGCAGAGCCCTAGGGGTGGTGGACGGGATCGCCCAACTGCCCCTCCCTGCCCTCTCCACAGCCAAGGCAAGCCAGAGCCCGCAGCTGAAGGACAAGTGAAGCCGCCCTCCAGCTCTGGCACGGACCAGTCCAGCAGGAAGGGGCGCACACCAGGCACCCAGCTCCCCACACCAGGCACCCAGCACCCCACAGCAGGCACCCAGTATCCCACAGCAGGCACCTACCACCCCACAGCAGGCACCCAGTATCCCACAGCAGGCACCTACCACCCCACAGCAGGCACCCAGCACCCCACATCAGGCATCCACCAATCTACATCAGGCATCCACCACTCCACATCAGGCACCCAGCACCCCACATCAGGCACCCA